ACAAAACCAATGCCTGGATGTTCCAAATGATCAAGAGGCTCTGTTTACATATTTTCATGAAAACATCACGTTGTTATTTACAGACTGTTATAAAATACAAACAAGAAATAAAGCAGACATAATATTAAGAAAGATATAGTAGCAGCCAATCAGAACGAGTATATACAAAACTAAAGTACAACAAAGGAGGTGCATACATATAGAGAAAATCAATATGAAACTATGGACACTCAAGATATACATAACAATTACAACAACAAAGAAATATTAGAATGAAGAGGAGTGTGGAGCTATATTATAACATCTAGATAACCATTTACAAGAAATAAAAAAAAGATATGTATATTAAATTTAAAAATGGTTGCCTTGAAACAACTTCCCTTACATTTGAAAGATATTTGTGGTTTCGTTCGTTTCTGTTGTCAAACATGGCATTAACGGGGAACTTCGGCAGATTTTTACCCTAGTCGCTTGATCACTAGAGGTCACCGAGTACATGTCGATAGGAAAAAAGGAACAGACCAGAATTGGGTTCTAGCAAACTGGAGAATCCTGCGCTATGGGCCCAGAGCTCCCGTTTAGTTATCAATACACTTCTTGGGCTAATCCTAAAGAGTGCCTTTTGCTCATCTTAACAGACACAAAAATGCAAATTAAAATGTCTGTGCAACAACTGATCAAGGCGCCATTACGTGACAAACATGCCTTTTCAACTCATACTTGTGCAGAAACGTACAAAACAGTACTGTTTATTTCCCCCCTTCAAAATGTCATGTTTTTCACAACACTACTGTTCCGAATTATTCACACTTCTTGCAACAAACAATTTCTTCTTCGTGTGTTTTCCCTCGAACAAGTGAAATCCACGGGACTCTCAGCGCTACTTTGTTGTACACGCAGAGAAAGAAGAGGAGTGGATCGGAGGTGTTCACAAGGGAAGAAGCTTGGAATAAGATCATGTGTGTTGATTCTACTGTGGAGACAAATGGTTCGCGTTTTTTTCCCCAGCTGGGGGGAGGGATACTTTCTTTCCTCCCGATTCGTCCACTCTCTTTCTTCTTCTGCGCTTTACTGCCAACATGTAGCACTCCTTTAGGAAGATGCCCCAAGAATGTATTCATACACTAACCTGGGACTCTAGCCCATTAGCTGCAGGAACTCCATTTGCTAGAACCCAATTCTGGTCGTTTCTTCCCTTATCGACGTAACTCCGGTGACCTCTAGTGATAGGACTGGAAACTCAAAGTGTAGGACTTGACTTGGACCTTGTCAGTCTTGACTTGGGACAAGGCTTGGAGTGCAAAAAATTTAGACTTACTTGTGACTTGCAAAACAATGATTTGGCTTGACCTCTGCTACTTTTGCGTAGTTTAATGTATGGAATTGCACCATATTATCTGATTTTACTGTGTGTTTAGTATGTAAAATGCAATGATAACTGTCAAATACTGTACAGTGAGTACAATATTATTAAAAGTATTAATTTCAAGTCCCATAGAAATTGTACTTTAGTACAACATGCGAGTACTTTCCACCTCTAATGCTGTAAAAGAAAACAAAAGCACAGCAGTTTATTTTCGACGGCTGTTCAGCCATGTTTACTACAGTATTGTTCCCATCTACAGTTATCAGCACAGCTTGTTGAATTCTTTTTTTAACAGCATCATAGATATTTTCACCACATTTTAATTTTTCTGCTCGTTCACTCAGAGGATGTTTAAGCAGCATTATCAAAAAAACTTAGAGCACATCCTTACATACATACTGTACATACAATACATACATACAAACCAAAGCACACATACTCATACATACACGTCCTAGTATAGCGCCACGCTGGTATATACAGATATATAGAATGAGTAAAAAAAAATCTATTTTCAGTTTTTACATCTTAATATAAGAGTCATACCAAAGACATGGCCACCGAGTGAGTAAACAATAGATAAATAGATATAAAACAAATACAAAAATAAATAAACATAAATACTTGCATCAATTAATAAAAGATGATATGAGTTTTTAAACTCACTGTTTACTTTTTAACATGATTTGTTCAAGTCGATATATATATACCACTTTTAACTGTTATTTTACCTCAACGACAAAGGACTGGTTCATTACCCAATCAGAGAAAGCGAAGCCTCGCCTTCGGCCCATGATTGGGTGGTTGATGCATTATCTGTACATTAGCCTATCATGTTCAACATGACATAATCATGTTGACGTTGAGTCATTTTCAGCACCATTAACATCGCAGTGACTGTCAACACTTTACCAACATCCACAGGTTCAGGTTGGACACAAAACTGTCAGGATAATAAAATGCTTTTCACCAAGTTATTACCAATATTAATTTTTAAATTGCATTCCTGATTGTTGACCACCCACTGGAGTTAAAATGACACAATAGTTTCCCTGCAGAGGAGACACACACATCCAAAGTGAGCTTATATGGATATTTTTGCCCCTGGTGTCTTCACTGGGAATACAACCACAAACCTTGTGAGGATCAGAGTGCTTATATACTTGCTTTTAACAATGCATATGTGTGTGCATGATGGCCAACCTGTGTATTTAGTCATCTTTCAGAGCGTTATGTTCACACTATCAGAAAATAATGCAACCCACTGATTTAGCCCTGATCTGCCTGCCTAGATTTTAATCCTCCATGTAGACACAAAGTACCTAGGTAAATATGAACAATAATGCTTGCATCACAGCTGCTTATTTACATGAACACATTGTTAAAAAGCAAGTATATAAACTGCTCTTAGTGACTTGCTTTACCCATCCAGGTTAGAAATACTTCTCCTGAAGTCCTTTCAACACCTTATAATCTACACATGCATCATCAGCATAAAGATGATAATTAAAACTACACTGGACACTGCAAGAACAAATAATTTTTTGTTGGCCAGAGATGAAAGCAGGAGGACACTGTATGATTTTTGAAGACTTCACTAATCTCAGGGTGAAGATGGTGGACAGGCTCATGTTAAACAACTTTCTCTAGATGAAACACTTGTTAGATATTAGATATTCTCGGTTTTTACAATATAAACATTATGACGTTAAATTTTGATGAACAGTCTGCATCAGCTTTTTGTAAAAACTATAATCTGAATATCTTTGACAGGAGTTTATATAATATGAGTTTTAACTGTGCCATAATATTTTATTTTTTGTGCTCGTGTCAGTCAACCATGAATCGGTGACCCCCTGAACATCGGCATCTTCTAAATGCTTGTTGGGTTATAATGTAAAAATCTTGGTTACATCTGCTACTAAGGTAAAAACAACGAAACAGTTTAACTATATCACAAACTGGGAGCCTTTATCACTGCACATTATGCATCAAATGCATCTTCAAATGTGTTTTGATGAACATGCTTTTTGGGATGAATCAGGGTCACATAGGGAATGTAATGTCTTTTAGGGAAGTGCATTGCTAAAAATGCTAACACCTTCTGCTGCCTTTATCTAAAACAATCACAACACCGGTTTAAATGTTGATTGACTTAAAGAACTCCCACTTCATAACAAATCAGATCACCTTAAATGCACAGACTAACCCTACAGGCTTTTAAAGAAAAAAACATCTTTGAAAACCACTTCAAAGAGAGACTGCTGAAGCGAAATCTGTTGTGTAATATGAGGGAGGACAGAAGTTAGCTTTGATGCTAGTGTTTTTTTTTATTTACTGTTCTTCCTTCAGGTACTGTTGCTGACCATGCCTGACTTTCTCAGCATCCAGCTGCTTCTAATTGACAGTAACACACATTCACACCTGGGAGCAGCTGTGTTTAAACTTCGACCTCTGAAGCTGGTTTATGATCAGCTCAGCTGAAGAGTTGAAGCTCCTTGCTTTAGGGCATCACAACAGCAGTTTGAATGAGAAAAGAGGAATTCTCATCAGTTCTTACAGTTTCAGTTTTTCCACTGATGATGCCAGTCATTAATCCAAACCTGAATCTTTGAATCAAAGGCCTGTAGATGGTTTCATTTTGTAAACAACACTGCCTTTCAAAAAGTCCACACCCTTGTCAACATCCTATCATGGTACCGTGAATATTTGAGCTCTTGTCATCAATTTGCTTTTGCTTTGCATTTATTGTAACATGTATTAACCACTTACTGGATGTGTTCTTGTGTTGTCACATTCCAATAAATCATTCTAGGATTTTTAAGGTCTGTTGACATTGTTAAAAGACATTTCTCGTCAGATACTGTTCTCCCCAAACACTGAAAAATGTTTTCATAGCATAATGAGGTTACTCATGATACCCTTCATACCCCTACATGGTATGTATTCCAAGAAAAGTGGACGACATTTAGACTCTTAAGAGTAAATGAAGCTTTTTCACCCAAAGGTCATTCATCACCTAACTACAGCTTATTATAATAGCTTATATCTGACATCTGTATTTATTCAACTGTACATCTTAGGCCTGTTTGTGGTGAGTTACAGCATGCCATATGGTGGTAGCCATTGCAGAAGTCATCCACTTTACATCCTTACATCTGGTCCTGATCGAGTTTCCAAACAAGTCTTTTCTCAGGTTAATGGTGACAGTACAGCTGGGATGTAAACAGTGGAACTTCTGCTATGGCTGCTTTTGTATCACATATGGATGGGTGACTGTTATCACTTCTCTCTCAGGCCTACATTTCATAAACCATCTGGACATAAACTGTGAGACTTGTGAGTCTACATTTCATGGGTCCTTGTGTTTTCATGAGGCTGGAGCCTCAAAATGCTTAATAGAAAGTTACCAAAGTTTGTGAGGGACATGCAACCTTTTGGAAGCATGAATGTATAAAAAATGTCAAATATTCTCTATCTCCCAGCTAAAACAAATACATTCATATTTATTGTTTTTATGAAACATTCTTAATTAGTTAATGAACTGGTGATTTGGAGGCAAAAGGAAATCTACACATTTTGGTTTAAACAGGACTAAATGTGGTTGAAAAGTGATCTACATTATTTAATTCACATTTTTAGTATATTTCATCCTGTAGCTATGTCCTGCTTCACTGAAATATATTATGACATATACTCTAAAAAGCTGTTTAAACAACATATCTAACCTATCATATGTAACATAGATTTCTAAACATAACTAGACATCACTTTTCAACCAAATTTAGCCCAGTTTTAACCTACACATCTCTGCATCTTTTTACCTGTAAATCACTAAAGCGATTTTTATTAGATGGTGAGTCCCTATTTAATGTCACTGTCTAATTTGCTACCAACCCAAAATGATTGCATGTCCTTTGTGAACTCTAGTAACCAGTCTCTAAAAGTTCCCTAGTGAGTCTCTGTTGAGTCTCCGGGGTCCGAGGCTCAAGTTCATGCAGCACTTTTTCTCAATTATCTCAAACTCCGCCACTTCATTGCTCTCACAATCCCTTTACTTCTTGTTCTGACCGTGCAGGATGAAACTAAATCTAACACTCCTTGGTCCCAGGATGAGAGATTAAATTTCTCACCTCCAAGCTTTTAGAAAAGATGAAGATTATCCCAGTTCAGTGTTACTCCATTTACTTCCCACGGCTCATTCATGCTACTTACTCCTGGACTGCGCCCTAAGGGGAGAGCCTTGGTCCCAGATTGCGCTTTACATTTTACAATCAAGTTTTGACAACTCTTAGAGTTGAGTTGCCTGACACTCTGTGTCTCCTTTCCATTCTTCTCCTGGCGTAGGTAGTCCTGGGATGAGAACTGATCTCAGGCTGAGCCTTTGCCCCAGACTGCACATTTAAGTTTAAGAGCCCCTGTTGGCTTAGACAGTTGTCTCATATTCTAATACCTCTTTGCTGCCCATCATGCTACTCCTGTACTGTATCCTGGGGCTGACGGCTGATGTGGTCTCCAGAAGCAGAATGGTCTTGCGGAGGCGCCGATCGATAAAGTGCGCATCCCAGGCCGGGTATCGCTTTCTTGGGAGGTCGATCCGTATCACAGGGCCCTCCTGTGCACGGGATGAAGAGGAGGTCCTGTGAAGGAGTGCAGGAGAGGAGGAAGGGGAGGGACGAACTTGGAAGACAGGCAGGCAACTGTCCCTGTCTCTGTCCTTGTCTCGCTCCCCGGGAACTGGCTCTCCCGTGTCTTTAGTCCTGGGGAGAGTCCTTGGAGGGCTGGTAATGACCATGTCTGTTTGGGACCCTTGGGATGGGGTGAGACAAGCATCAATCACTCCTGCCACCCCTCCTGCACCCACCACGCCCTCGTCCACACACCCACCCCACTGTGAGCCCAGAACAGGCCCGTCAGGGTGCAGCCAGCAGTAGTACACCAACATGAAGAAGGTTCCCAGGGCAAAGCTGCAGGCTACCAGGCACACCACCACCAAGGCGTATGAGTCGGAGGTGTGCGGGCCACGGTAGGTGTACCAGGCGGCGGTCAGTGCCACATTCTCAGCCAGCGTCACAGAGTAGTAGACGGTCATACGGAAACGGCTCGGACCTTCCTTGACATTGAACCAGCAGAAGATGTAAATGATGCCCACCACCATGTTGTAGATGATTTCCTCCCACTTGGACATGCAGAAGTCAGTCTCTCCTTGGATGATCCAGAAGGTCATGACACACCTGAAAGACAATAAACAATACTGTTGGTAACATTGCTTTGCCTCCAGTGAATTTTGTGATGACTAATAGTAATGTGGTAAATAATATTGGAAACTTGACCTGACAATAAAAGTATAGTATACAGATAGTAACATGAATTGGATTATTTCTACACTATTACTACTACTAAACAGCACAGGACTATGACACCACCTTATAGGGTGGTAAGAAGGTAAGAAGAGACAACCAGACAATTTTTTCATTGCATATTTTACATCGGGGAGGATTTTTCCAGGTTACATGTATTTTGATCGGAGCCAAATGGACTTCATGGGTAGCCTTAAAGATACTTAATCCATGAGATTTGACGAGTCCTGATGATGCACTTTTATACAAGAATGGTGTTATTGATGGATATTCATAATTCCCAGACTCCCAATGAATTTTCACTCGTAAATAAGTAATATCAAAATCGAATGAGCAGATTGACATGAAATTTACTGATCACATTTATGCTCTTTTTGATTTTTGTATACAACTGTACATCTCATATAGCATAACTTAACAAAAATAAATTGATGCTTTACATTGCAAGTCTTGTTAATTAAACCTACAGACGTTAAATATGCTGTTTGCTAGGGGACATATTTAGCTGTCAGTCGAAATTACGAAGCCTCTTGGAGTGGAGAAATGCGTTCAAGACACCACACCAAGATGTCTTTGACAGTTTATAATTCGAACTGAAATGTAATGTATTTTAAGTCAGTTAAATCAATGATCTGGGGTTAAATTCATGTCTCAAGATAAGACATTGATAAGAAATCTCTGCTTACAGAGACCACATTCTTTCAGCACCAATTTCATCTGTAAATAATCACAATGAATGGGGGGGCGGGGGGTTATAAATTAGCCACTACAAAGTGTTCTTCCTTGAGGGAAAGAACCTGCGAAGTGCAGAGAAACTGTTGTGATTTAATACGGTCTATGAGCAAGAACCAAGACAATAAAACACATCAAGGGGAGAGAAAAAAAACAGTTGTAACATAATTCTAATGATAGCAGAAACTCCATTCTGCTGGTTGAGCATTGCTTTCTTCTGTGCACTCTTACCAGTCATGAAAACTAATCTAAACTGATAAAAGTATTTTCAGGACTCTTAAGGTTGCGAACTTACACCTGAGGTTGACCTGGAAGACAGTTTCTGATAACATACTTGTGTATTTGCTTGTATTTTAAAAACAGCAAAAAGAATTAGCTGATTAAATGGCTTATGGTAAAATAATATATATCTTCTTTGTGTGGAAAACTTTTTACCGAAATACATTGCCGTTTACCACATATGCAGTAAAAGATATTCTTCTTCTTTTTAGGCTTTAATCGATTGAATATTGTATCTGATATTTCTGTTGAGATATACGATCATACAATATTTGTTTAATGCCAGTGCATCTGTCAGTGGTTGAGTATAAATTGGTATTACACAGTCAAAGAAAACCTTTTTGTTCTGAATACTAGAACTGAGAAAAAGGACCTTGAGTTTCCTTGTGATAACTATTAAGATAATCATTTTCTAAAATCAGCTTCTCATTGTAAACCCAGACTCAGGTCACATATGGCGCACCAGTGGCTGACGATGAATATGCCGAAATAGAGCTGGAAGACGGAGGCGAAGAGGGCAAAGGCCACGGTCCTCGCCCCAATGGTGAAGAAGTGCCACAGCATCTGGGTGATCACAGCCTTGTAGGACATGGGCAGCTTGTCGTCGCGGGAGTCCCGCAGAACCTTCTGGTAGGAGGCAATCATCCAGGCCAGAGAGACCAGGGAGGCAGAGGCAGAGAGACCTGGAGAGACAGATGAAGAAAGAGACAGAGTGATAAAATAGGAAGGAGGAAAGGAAGATGGTAAATGGACTGCACCTGTTTGATGTATTCTATGGTTTCACCATTTTAACCCCTTACTGTATGTAGGAAGGAAGGTATGCAGGAAATTTCATGACAATCTGTTTATCTTATCATGAATTATGTGCAAAGTTGCACAAAAGAAAGGTTGAGCGGTCACCAAAAACACAAGGAATCATTGTCCAGGGATCATCAGTATCACTATTAAATTTGATGACGAGTATAAAATTTGGCCAGTATTTCAGATATGTCTTTCTGGACCAGAAAAAATTGAACAACTGCTAGCAAACATCACACAATGGAAAAAAGACTTCTATTATCTTCCAGTGGAACTAATAGCGTAATTTCTCAAAGTCGTGAATGCACGACTAATCAATTGATGCTAAAATGCTAACTTAGCACCTTCAAATGACATATCAGTGATACATGTTGAGTACTCTTACAAGTTATTACAACATTACAAGCGAAACAAACCATTACCTATAAACACACGAAACAATGTAATATTTCCTCCTAGCTCATTCAAACAGACCTGAACCAGTTTCCACTGAAGTCAAATTATCATTAGCCCACACACATAACTGTGAAGCCCGCCGCGAGCTGCCCAGAACGCAGTTTAACACATTAAACATTCATGTGTGTTAATCATGCAGTCTTGTCTCAAATTAGCCATGAATCACACTGAGAAGGCATTAAAATTTGACTGAGCTGCACCGACTTTTTGAGAGCTTAACAGGATTTACCATTAAGAAACCTTGGTGCATTAGAAATAAGAACATTTACTTTGTTGGTAGTTGTATCTAGTTTGTAGTTGCCTCACAAATGGAAACTTGCTCAAGATAGGACCTTTGGCACTTTTTGTGAGTTTCACGGCATATTCAGTTGATTGCAATCTGCAACTTCAGGGCTAGATGCCACTAAATCATACACACTTTTTAATACCAAGAACATCGTTTAGTTGATATATTTTTCCTCTCATTAACCCAACCTGAGTTTACAATTCAAAGCAATGACATGAGAAGATTCCAGGAAGGCAGTGTAGGAAAATAAACCTAACCAAAGCAGCTATACAAGAAATGAACCCAAAACAAAAGGGATTATGGGTAGAAAGAGACAGATGCAGTTTGTTGTGCTTGGAAAGCCCAGCAAATCCAAGCATTTGGAGAAACTGGAACCAGCAAATGTTTGGGATTTGTACTTAGCAGATGACTTGAATAATTAATTGGCAACTAATAGTTATTTAATTTCATCGATTGACTGATGGATTAATCAATACACTTTTCTTATATAGACTGTATATAATGTAAATGCCCCAAAACATGAATGCCTATCAGCAGATGATAGGTTGCCAAAATAGACAGAAATGTGTGTGTGTGCTCTGAGACTTGTATCTGTGTGAGGACTTTTTAGACCTTGAAAGACAGAGAGGACATTTTGCTAAGTAAGAACATTTTATCTGGTCCTTACTTCTTGAAAGGGCTGTTTGAGGTTTAAGACGTAATTTTAGGGTTAATGTTAGAACTACTTTTAAAAGTCTAGCGTGTAACATTTAAGAGGCTCTGTTGGCAGAAATTGAATATAATATGCATTGGTATGTTTTCAGTTGTGTATAATCAACTGAATATAAGATAGACTTTATTGATCCCACACTGGGGAAATTTACTTGTTACAGCAGCTCCGAATATAACATAGCAGATAGAAAAAAAGAAATACACATTAAATAACAAAAGAAAAAAGAAAAAAATAGAATTAAGGTTGTATGTACACTATATTACAATGTTTTTATACAGATATATGAATTGTGCTTTTGTTACCTGAGTTGTGATCTGCAACTACACCGCTAGATGCCACTAAATCCTTCACACTGGACCTTAACGTTAAGGTTAAGGTTCCTTTGGTGGAACTCCAACTTCCACCGCAGGGTTAAGTTCTGGACACATTATTCAAGCATTTAAAAAAATTTAAAAATCTGCAACCACAAAACAGTTTGTTTTTTGTTAATTGTGCTTTGACACATAAACATGGAGTTACAGAAGAACGTATACGACAGATGGACCAACGACAAAGTTGTTGTATAGTCGTGTGCAAAAATGACATCCAAAAACAGCCATCCTTTTTTCATATGTCAGTGGACTATTTTGCCTAATCTTCACAGGTCTTTAATGCGAGGTAGAAACACAGACAACAACAGGCTGGAGGAACCTTTTAGGTCCTTGCAAAGTAGTTCCTGGGACTAAAAGTTTGGAGTACAGTTTTAATTACTCTAACAGCTGCTCTGGACCATGGTTGGAGACTTCTAGTTTGGAGGCTAATTCAGCCTGGTTAGGTAACATAGCTTCATGGATGTTGGTAGATAGACCATGTTAAACATAAACATGTTTTAATGAACATGAACTCTTCTGTGGCAGTAAACACAGCACAAGATAGTCAGGCTTAATAAACAGTAATAGTAACTTTGGCACGATAAACCTAATACTACGTAGCTACTGGCTCTCCCCCCACACACACTTGGAGCCTAGCCTCTCACAGGAGGGCCGCTAACATGTATTCACACAGATGGTCTCTCTAAGGGCCATAAATGTGCTTCTAGTGACTGT